CTGAGACAGGCAGTTGTCAATGGTTGCTAACTATCATGGAGAGGAAGTGGGTAAGGAGTAGGCTTGGCCATAATATCAGACTATTTCTTTTCAAAGTACTACTCAAATGCAAAGACAGAATAGAGGACTTTGGAGGGGCCTGGAAGACCCGTGCTGGAACAGGGCATCAAGGCTACATCGCTGGCAGCAGGGGCACTGGCGGATGCCAGGTATGCCAGTGAATGAGCTCAGGGGAAAGATCAGCCAGCTCCAGGTGCAGGATCTCCTGAAAGGAATGTCCAAGCTCCTTAAAAACACAAGCTCCCCAGCACAGTCAGGCAGAATGTGAATGGATCAGAAGTGCTCATGCCTTAGCTCGTAAATGTGGTGTAGCCTAGGCAGTGTCTGTATCATTCCAAACACTCTCTGTGCTCCGAAGTCCCAATCTTCTGCTTCAGCAATCTAGTCACTCTAAATATTGATAGAAGTTAAGAGTTAATAATGATTAAGCAAAGAGGCAGCTGGTTACAAAAGAAAAGAAGTTGTGAGGTGAGGTTTTGGAGTTTGACTCCCAGCTTTGCCAACATAGCCTGCTTTTTGGCCTAAACTAGACAAAAAATTAACTGGTTTCTCAGTGATGTTCAAGGTTCAGTTCGGCACAAAACCCACAAATGAATCACTCAGTCAACCAATCAATGTGTCAATAGCAGAAATGTCAAGCTTTATATGATAACATGAAAATGTATCTTGTGCAACCTTCACATGGTTATGGACCAGCTGTATGGGTTTTGGTCATTTAACAATTTTAGGCATTGTACTTATTTTTGACAATAAGCTTGAATTTGTTAGCAGATGACACTGAAGCAGCACCTTTAGCTACGGGGCTGTGTCTCCCTACTGCCACCACGTGGTGGCAAGTGCAATGTATTTGGTAAATGAAAAATTTAATGGGGGTTCGAGGAAGGACTTCAAATCAGGATAAAGCCTATTTATAGCTGTCACATTAAAAAACAAAACAAACACCTTTCAATGTCTACCTGATTTCTTCTAACTTCACTTTATCTCAATGAAATTGTACTAAAACATCTGACATCTATTATCTGTTACACATTAAGTGTTCATTTTATTCATTCTTTCAACACATACTGGAGTGCTTTTTACCATGCATGTCCAAGAATTCTGTGAGGTGCAAGGTTATGACGGTGAGCAACACAAAGCTTTCTGTTTTGGAGGCCCTTATCTGCTGGTAATATGCTCATCACAACAGTGACCGATCTAAGTGTTTGGAACTGGAATTAATACAAAAAATACTAAGTTCCCACAATCCCCTTCCAGGCCGTGCCCCAAAAGGCCTAGACCTCTCTCACTAGCCCCACCACTTTAAGGTTCCACCATTATACCTACCCATGGGTGGGGGACTGTGGGCCTTGTTCATACAGGATGTCATCCTATAGAGGTACAGGATATACCTGTCCAGTAGTGATAAGAGGGTCAGTGGTACCACGCAGGAAGTAGAGGAGGAATGGGGGGAGAAAAAACATGGCAGACACAGGGCACAGGAGACCCACGTGGCTGAGGCTGTGATAAGGACCAGTGGCTTTAGATGAGCCAAAGGAGCTATGTTAGTTGGATCTGGAAGGTCCACAATGTCCACAGTCCTCTGCCAATGGCTATGGGGAAGTGGTGGAACCTTTAACAGGAAGGGCTAGTGGGAGGAGCTTAGGCATTTGGGGATGTGGCCTGGAAGGGGCTTGTGGTAACTCAGTACTTATTCTTTCAATTCGCAGCTGTGAGGTGACTGGTCCTGCCCTCCTCTGTGAAGCCTATACCTTGATGAGCTGCCCACCCACTTTCAGGCCTAAAAGTAACAACCAACTTGGCCTGCATTCTCCAAAATTCTGGGCCAGAATAACCCTTTTTTCTGTTGATCATAATAGTTTGTTATAATAGTTATGCAAATCTGTGTAGCATGAGGCATGGGCTAAGGTAGTGACAGTGATAACTTGGGGAAGATGCTAGGGTGACAACATCCCTGGGACTAGCAGCTGCACTGGATGTTGGGGTGGGGCAAAGAGTTGAGTAAGAACCCTAGATTGTGATGGCAGAGGGGTCAGCTGGGACTGGGTGGTGGGACGCTGTCTTACACATGATGGGCTAGAAGTATCCAAGTGACAATAAAAAGCAATGCTGGCTGGGCGTGGTGGCACACTCCTGTAATCCCAGAATTGGGGAGGCTGAGACAGAAGGATTGTTATGAGTTCAAGACCAGCTTGGCCTTCAAAATGAGCTCAAGGGCAGCCTGAACTGCAAAGGGAGATCCTGTCTCAAAAAGAAAGAAAGAAAGAAAAGAAAAGAAAAGAAAAGAAAAGAAAAGAAAAGAAAAGAAAAGAAAAGAAGAAAAGAAAAGCACCTGCTTAGGCAAGCACAAGGGAGTGCTGAGCCGGCCACTGAGTCTGGGTGTGGTGGCATATGCCTCTAATCCCAGCACTGGGGAGGTTGAAAATAGGAGGATCACTACATGAGCTGTGTAGTGACATTCTGTAAGAAATATATTATAAAATAAAGAAGAAGCAATGCCACTCAGCTAGCTGGATATATGGGTCCCACTGAGGGACAAAGCTGGGAGGCAAGAATTACTGAGCAAGATGGGGCCTAAAAACTTCCTAGGAGCATTCTCTGTTTTAGACAGACAAGGGGCTGAAGAGAACAAGAATGGCTACAGCAGTGAGAGATGAGACAGAGGAATTGAATATAGAAGTTCTATACAAGGCTGGCATGTTCCAGGGGATGTGGGATGGGACAGAGACTGGAACCTACAGGAGAATGTGGGGTTGAGGGAGATTCGTTTCTCTGTCTTCTGCAATGGGATACTGGACACAGTAAATGCCATGAAAGAGCCAGCTATGGTGGACCAGGAGAGAATAGACAACTGGCAATGCAGGACGTCTGACCAGTGGGAAGGGACAGGGCTCAAAGCCTGGACAGGGAGAGATCTTGGATAGGGGCAAGGACACAAAATGGCTTGGCAGGGCTTCAGAGTCTTGGTAGGTGGAGACTGAGGGTTTTCCCACCAGACAGCTTGATTTCTTTGTAAAGTGAGAGCCAAAAGAGGAATATGGGGAGATCATGGAATGGAAGAGGCAGTTTACGATCTGCAACCTCTTCTAGGCCCTCAGCAAACTGCAGCAATCTGATTCCATTACTTGGTAAAATGGGGTTTTGCTTGATGGAAAACAAATAGGAGCTGGGTTTGAGATTGACTAGGGTCTTTCCATCCTCTTAAGGTGGAGACTTGTTCCATGCACTACTGTGTCACTGTGACAGCAGCCGGGTCCTTACTATGGAAATCATCAGCACAGGGATGGTAATTCATCTCCATTTCAATTAGCCTCTTCTGGTGCTTCTCTAAAAGGAGCAGGGAGCCATGCTCCATTCCTACACGACTGCTCTTTCTCAGTGGGCTATTTCTGTCCTTCCATACAGTCTATTTGAAAGGGCTTGCCACAGTTCCGTTCCAGGGACACTGTCAGATTTATACCGAAGAAAGCTGAAGGGTAGCTGGGTAAGGTGCTGCATGCCTGTAATCCCAGCAGCCTGGGAGGCTGAGGCAGGATGACTGAGTCTCTCTGAAGCAATTTAGTGAGGGCCTGTCTCCAAAACAAGGGGTTCCTGGGCCCTACTCCTGTCACATAACCTCCACAAAGGGGAAATAAAGCTAAAAGACATCTTTCAGTTTGTCGCTTGGTAAATAGTGCAGTACTCAGTTTTGTCTACTTGGTTTAAAACCTGAAATTCTCAAAATGAGTACTATTTTTATTTATGGAAAGCATAACATTCATATTTTCCTTTTAAAACCTATGTACAAGGCCGGCCAAATAGCTCAGCGGATTAAACCACCTGGAAGCAGGCACAGGGGTTGGGGGGTTCAATCCCCGGGGGCCTGCTGTGCTGGCCCCGCCCCTGGGGTACACTGAAACAGCAATTGAGACTGGGTGCGGTGGTGGGCGCCTGTAATCCCAGCTCCTGGGAGGCTGTAAACAGGTGGATCACTAAGAGTCTGATCTAGTAGTGAGACCCTGAGCACCCTGTAGACTCTTCCCTAAAATACAAAAAAACAAAAACAAAAACCTATTCACACAAAATAACACCACTGTGCTCAAGTGAGAGAAGGGAAGACACAAGGGAGTCAATCAGAAGGTTGCTGAAATAACACAGGCAGCCCAAGGTGGTGGTCTGGACCAGACTGATGACAGCAGGGGCCAGAATTGTAACTGTTCTGGGCACATTTTGATGCTATGCGATGGAGTCAAGGTAGGCACTGAGGTCCCAGCAACCTAGGGCACCTAAGCAGGGGCCACAAGAGGCTGCTGGGTCCTGGATCTGGGGTTCAGAGGAGGGGCCGGGGCGGACACATATATTTGGGACTCATGACATTTAGATGGAAGAGTCCATGAGACTGGACGCATCCATCTAGGGAGTGTAGACAGAAAACAGGTTCAAGGTCACGCTCAGCCAGGAAAATCTGGGCTCAAGAGTTAAATGTGGTGGCAACGAAATGTTAAACCGCCAAAGGAAAACTGGACGAAGAGCCCCAAGGTCGAGTGGGTGGAGGACAAATAATCACATTTCAAAAGCTTTAGAGTCCTACGGGCTAGGGGTGGGAAAATTAAGTAAAAACTAGACCAAAGCCAAACAGCAAGCGGAAAGACTGACATTTAGACAGAAAAGCAGCCGGCCACCGCAGCAGGGGGGTCCTGCACCGTCTCACCGCCCCAGGGGGCTCCGCTGCTGGGTGTCCAGTGAGAGTCGTGCGGACCTGGCAGCAATTCCTGGCAGCAGGGGGCGACCCCCTCCAGGCAGCATTCTGCAGGAGGTGACAGTGGGCTGACTACCTTACCAGCAGGCAGCACAGAACCCGGGGCTGAGGGACCGGGCGGCGCCGGAAGGGAAACTCTAGCAGGGGGACCGTGCGAAGCTGGGTCGCAGTGACCATATAAGGGAGACAGCAGCCCGGCAGTTACCTGCTCTGCGCTGCTCCCGCGGCTGCGCCAAACCCTCCTTCCGGCGTGGGTGCGTCGCTATGGAAGTGGCGCGCAGAGCCTCTCGGGATGCACCGCGGGCGGGGCGTGCGCATGCGCATGCGCACGCGCACGATAGCCAGCAGGCCCTGGGACCGAGGGGAGTGTCATGGCCGTGACGCGTTTCCCCAGTTTGCGCAGAGGTGTCGAAAGCAGCGGTGTACGGGGACCTGCTGGGAAGAGGGGCTTGAGAGCAGAGTGCCCACATCTGATCACCACGCAGTGAATGTTAGGTGTAGGATGTACAGCCAAGCACAAAACTGATAATGATGGAATTGTAGATGATGCTTAATAACTGCCCGTTTTATTGTCAAAAGTTGGCATCTTGTATTCACTCCCTTGTTATTAGGAAGGATACACTTTTTTGGATACTTTAGTGGCCACTATCATCTTGTTGATTTGCTTTTTCCTGCCTCCCATCCCCTCTTCTTTGAGTCTCACTGTTGGTCAGGCTGGCTTAGAACTCCTGAACTCAACTGAACCTCCTGCCTCAGCTTCCTGAGTAGCTGTGGCTACAGCCATGCACGCCATACAGAGCCTTCCCTCCACTCCATTTGATGTTCATCTTTGTAAATGTTTATTTGGAAGAACTTTTGATGTATGAAAACTTGGTCTTTGATATCTGTTGCAATACTTCCTCCAGTTGGCTGGTTACCTTTTATTTATAATGTATTTTGCTGTTCCTGTAGGCTCACTTGATCACACCGGGCATTTTGGTGAATTCCTGTAGTACTAGCACTAGGGAGGCTGAGGCAGGAGGATTGCTGTGGGTTCAAGGACAGTCTAGGGTACATAGCTTACAGCCAGCCTAAAATACATAGCCAGACTCTGTCTCAAAGCAAACAAACAAACAACAATAACAACAACAAAAAAAAAAACAGTTGGCCACACTATCTCTTTATGATTTTTGGTTGCTATGTAAGAAGTGATAGATACCCCTTTTCAAACAATAGGTTTAATTCTACCTTGGTAGAGGTTGGGTCAGAGTTTTCCCTCCATATCACCAACCCTTCACCAGGCTGCTGTTAGAGTACCTACCTATTTGGGAATGGCCATACATTTCTGAATGTTTAGGGGAAGAGGTATCTGTAAAGATCAGTGGTGGTTGTTGTATGGCTCTCCCGAACCTTACTTTCAGCCCCCAACCTGAACCTTACTTTCAGCCCCCAACCTATCTGCTGGTGGAAGCACTGCTATTTGCTGGGAACTCAGCTCAGCACCGAGTCTGTCATCAGCAAGCACAGAATGTTGTGGAGAAGATAAGATAGAACAAGGAATTTTGCAGGTTCTGAGGACATTTGGAGACACCCAAAAATTTACATTGGACCTTCAAGGACTTGCTCACTGAGGTGCAAAATACCAGAGAACTCTGACCATAGATGTTTATTAAAATCTTCCTGCCTAATGTCTCTGTCTTTTTCCCATCCCTATAAAAGGAACACACTTTTCTTGGTTTGGGGCAGGTAGCTTTATTGGTTTTTGCCTGCTGCACCCAGGTATTAAACCATATTCCTAGTTGCTATCACAAAAGCCTGTCATGTGCTCTTGCCCTGTGTTCCTTATTTTTGGGTGGTGGCAGTTGGGGCCTTAAGTGTATAGACTGAAATGTCACCTTAGAATTGACAGTCATGGAGAGGTGGCTGGTGGGACCCTCAGGACAATGTCCAGGTGGCAGTTTGCTGCTAAAAGAATAAGCACCCCTGATGCTCTGGACTGGAGGTGTGAAAGATGGAGGTTGCTTTTCTATCCTCATGGTTTCCTCTTCTCTACTACCTGCCCAGGTCCTCAGTCCCTTTGTCTCACAGTGTATAGATTTCACTTCTGCCTGTGTTGGGATGATCTCTGTGTGTCATGGGAGAGGAAGAGGCCCTTCAGCCTATGGCTGGAGAAGTGGCCTTTTGGGTATTTTGGAGTGCATCAGCATCTGCCACATAACAAACATGCAGTCTTTTTAGTCCTGTGTTAGTTTCCTAGAGATGGTGTAATTTACCACAGATTTGGTGGCTTAGAACAACAGATGCTGATAATCTCACAATTCTGGATGTGAGAAATATCAGTCAAGGTATGAACAGGTGACACTGTGATGGCTCCTAGGGGGATTTCTTCTCTCCTCTTTCAGCTTCTGGTGCTCCTGCTCTCCCTTGGCCGCGACAGGATAGCTCCTGTCTCTGCCCCTGCACTCACTTTGTGTGTCTTTGTTACTTGTAGTGCTGGGGATTGAATCCAATACTTGTTCATGCTGGGCAAGCTCTGTACCACTAGTTGCTATCACAAAAACAACAACAAAAAACCCCAAAAACAAACAAACAAAAAAATGAGTTGCCTTCCCAGCGCTTATTTTATTTTGATTTGGAGTACCTCTAAGTTGCCCACACTGGCCTCAAACTTGTGAATCTGATGTCCCAGGTTCCTGAGTATCAGGGTGTAATAGGTGTGTGCCACTGCACCTTGTAGTTTCTTAGGAGGATACCTGTTAGTGAATTTAGGGCCTGTCCTTAAACCAGAATGATTTCACTGCAAAATCTCAATGTAATTATATCTACAAAGACTCTGTTTCCAAGCAGGGTTACATGTGGGGGTTTTGGTGGAACATTAACTTGGGGGAATATTATTCAACCCAGTATAGTTTTTATAATAATCTCTTTCATTATCCCACATACTAAGGACACATAGCTTTGTCATTTTAGATTGTCCATACAGTTATGTAGATCAAAATGTAACATCTGGCTGGGTGTGGTGGTGCATACCTGTAAACTCAGCACTTGGGAGACTGAGACAGGAGGACTGCTGTGAGTCTGAGGCCAGCCTTAGTTACAAAGTGAATTACATAGTAAGACTCCGTCTCAAACAGAAAAAAGAAGGAACATATCATTAAAAAAAATAATTTTAGGAGCACATCGTTTATCAGAAGGTCATTTGAGAAGTGCTGTGAAGTTTGTAGCCAATATATCATAATTTATTGTTAAAATGAAGTTCAATTGAAATGTTCTTGGGCTTTCCCAGCATGCACTGGAGATGTTTTAGTGGTTCTCCCCTGTGTGTTTCCTGGATGACAGCTTTTTTTTCTGGAGTGGGCTATGTAAGTCAGAGTTTTATTGAGCTTCCTTTTAAGTCTCACTTGGAATGTTTGGGATTCCTGTTAAATTATCCTAAAGCTCATGGGTGCCAATGGAATACACTGCAGGGGTCTTTCAACTAGTTTCCTGTTTCTCAATTTATACATTTTCACAGTCATTTAAAAGGATGAATTTGTCAAAAGTAATTCATTATAGAGAAAAGGAGCACTAGCACTATGCGGGCAGCATTCAGGGACTTCTCTGATGTAGAGTGGTCATCAGAGCTTGGGTTAGAGCCTTGGATGCACTGTTTACTGTTCCCATTGCCTCTAAGTCTGCGTGCTCACTGAGAGCAGTGGATCCAGACTGAGGGCTCCCGGGTGTGGTTTATGCAAAGTACCTGCAGCAGATCTGGTGCATGCCCTACACCCAAGACCGGATAGCTATTATCTCAGTAAGATTGTGATTGCAATGATGATGATGACGATGGTGGTGATGATGGTGATCTTGGTGCTTTTCCTTGCCATGCAGCTCAGGCTGGCCTCAGACTCACTTGTAGCCCATGCTGGCCTCAGACTTGACCCCCTCCTCCTGCTCCAGCCCCCAAGTGCTGGGATTCTGGGTGTGCACCATCGTACCCGGTCTCTACCCTTTATTTTTTAATTTTGAGACAAAGTCTCCTTAAATCACTGGTTGCCCAGGCTGGGCTCAAACTTGTGGCCTTCCTTCCTCAGCCTCCAGGAGTGGTGGGATCACAGGCGTGCACTACCATACCAGCTTCCTATGGGAGACTTACAGGTGTGAATATATGCAATGTTGTTTTATGTAGAAAATATACATTGTAGAAATGTTGAAAATATGAAAAGAATACATTTAAAAATGACCCATAATCTTCAGTGGGATTTAAAGTAACTCTGAACTTCTAGAGACTCCAATGGGGAGAATCCACTGACCGCCTTCAACAAGCGACCTCATTCTGGGGGAGGTTCAGGTTGCATGTTGAAGCCAAAAATGAAATTCTGGTCAAGTCATTTCCAGTGTGTGTTGTGACTAGAGAGGAATTTGAGCCAGATCTAGGGACACCAGGGCTCTGGGCCTCTCAGGCATTCACCTCAGGGGCAGGTGGGCAGCCTGCAGGACCCCAAACTCTGATGAAGGGGGCAGGTACAGATGAGCCAGAGCGGTTCCTCCCTCATCCAGGATGCCAGTGCCACTCTCTCTATTATGAGAGCCAGGGGACCTTAAAAAAAAAAAAAAAAAAAAAAAAAAAAAAAAAAAAGGAAAGCCAGGGGTGGTGGCACACACCTGTAATCCTAGCACTCCGGAGGATGAGGGAGGGAGATGGCTGTGAGTTCGAGACCAGCGTGGGCTACACAGTTTGCAGTCAAGACTGGCCTAGACTATATAGTGAGACCCTGTCTCAAAACAAACAAAAATGGCAACCCTCCAAAACCCAGGGGTGGGGCACCTCCCTGAAAGACTAGGCCTTTCCCCTAATGCCGTTGATCTTGATTTTGAACAGCTCTCATCTGGGCTTTTTGCTGTTTTGGTATTGTTCTGATTTTACACTCGGTTGGAATTACCTAGGGCGGTGAGGCGGGTGAGGACCTGCTGTGCACAGACCTGTCATTGCATCTTGATCCCACGTCTCTGACCTCGGCAGACATACCATGCCTACTTCTGTGGCCCCGGGAGCTCACTGAGCCCTTACTTGGCCCAACAGGTGGTGACAGCTACAGAGAGGCCCCTTGGAGAGGAATTCTACTGTGCGACAGCTTCAAATTTTTACAGTCCGCCTGAAAAATGTAAAACGAGAAAGCTGCTGTTGGTTCCTAGATCCCCGCAGCTTCTCTGACCCTTCTGGTGGATTTGCCAGGAGCCCGCAGCCCCGCCCTGTACCCAGTACTTTTCAGCCCCCCTCCCCCTAGGGTCCCTGGCCCCGCCCCATCCGCACCCAGGCCTCTGATTGGTCTGCTGCAAAGCCTGGCCTTTTAGGGACTGTTGTCAGGCATTTAAAGTGACATGGGAAAGGGTCCAGCAGCTTCTTTTATCAGCCAATCAAATATTTCCCTGACAGATTCCCAAATATTCCTGGACCAATGGAGGGGGGAGCCCAGGCTGCCCCTGTGGCCTGGGCGGTCGCCAGCTGGCACCTGGCACCCGCAGCTCCAGTCCCGGTCTGGATTTGTCCAGCGACGCGTTCCCCGCCGGGGGTGTGTTAGGTGGAGCTCTCTTTCCGACCCTCGACATGGTTATCAAAGTGTTTGTGGCCACATCTTCTGGGTCCATAGCGGTAGGTGTGGGAGGCACGCCCTTGTGTTCTGGGGAGTTGAGAACTGGAAGGAGGAGGCTTGCCCCTCAGTGCCTTTGGCGTGTGCGTCCCTGGCCTTCTGTATTTGTTTGCACGGTGTCGACCAAAGTGTGTCAGAAATATATGATCTGGACAGGTGGGTGTGAAAGCGGATTCAAGGAGGAAGGCGTGCTTGATGATGGATTTTGGAACGTGTAACTTGCGTCGCCTCGCTGTGGCATGTACCTCTTAATAGAATCACGGACTTCTTTTGGGTAGTGTTTCTGCCATTCATTCTGCAAGACTTAGACTGATTTAAAGTTGATGGAGGGAGTGGGGAAGGGAAGAAAAAAGAATCGAGCTGTGTTATGTACATGCACGAACTCCCCACAACGAGAGTAATCATTACAGACCGCAACATGTACTAATAAACTTTTATTTTAATTAAAAAAATTGGAAACAAATGACGCTTTGCATAACTGAATTTGGAGGGTGAGGTGGACGAGACTACTGAGAGGATTGCGGCGTGAAGTTACTTGCATGCCTACGCATGGCCACCGAAAAGAAAGTGTGTACTAGCCAAGTGTAATGCTATTATTTGAGGGAAATGATGTCACAGTGACAAGAGCAAGTGACTCTGAGGTCACGGTTTTAGACTTTAGGAATGCAGACCAAGCCCAAAAATAGGAGGTAAAAGCCACACAGCCCAGCCTTTCTCCTCAGCCACTGTGAAGAGCAGGTCTGCCTTTGGGAAAGGACTGATGCTCCCTCTTCCTGGGAAGTGTTGCAGGCTTAGATTTTGGGCTTCAGTGGTAGTGTCTGTCTAGTACTGGTTTTTTTTTTTTTTTTTGTTTGTTTGATTAAATCATTTATTTATTTATTTGATACAGGGTCTCGCTAACAGCTCGGACTCGTAATGATCCTCCTGTCTCAGCCTCTGCAGTGCTAGGATTACAGGTGTGCATGTCACACCTGGTTTCAGTGGCTGGCCTGGTGTGTCCTGGGCTCTGGGACCGGCTCTGCATATAGTACTGGAGATCAAACTTGGTTCTTGTGCTTGCCAGGCAGGCGCTTAGACCACCAAGCTATCTCCCTAAACTTTCTTTCTTTCTTTCTTTCTTTCTTTCTTTCTTTCTTTCTTTCTTTCTTTCTTTCTTTCTTTCTTTCTTCCTTCCTTCCTTCCTTCCTTCCTTCCTTCCTTCCTTCTTTCTTTCTTTCTTTCTTTCTTTCTTTCTTTCTTCTTTCTTTCTTTCTTCTTTCTTTCTTCTTTCTTTCTTTCTTCTTTCT